GCTGCTTCTCTGGCCATGCTGAGGCCGCGTCCCACATACAGCAACTAGAAGGATGTGCAGCTATGACACACAGCTATCTACTGGGGCTTTGGGGGGAAAAATAAATAAATAAAAATCTTTAAAAAAAAAAAAATAAAATATTTGGTATACATGTATGTATATATACGTTTCTATATTTGTGTGTATATGTGTGTATACACACACATATGTGAGAGAAAGTAAATGTGGCAAAACGTTAACAATTGGTGAATCCAGGTGAAGGGTATTTGGGTGTTCATTGTACTATTATTTTAACTTTTCTATAGGTCTGACAAATTTCAAAACGAAAAGAAAAAAAGTAATTTGGCACCAAATGCAAACTTACACATTGAAATCTAGTAGTAGCACTAGGTTATAAGGTAGTCATTCAGAGGATCTGGAGCAGGGCTTCTCAAACTCAAATACACATATGAATCTCCTGGAGATCTTGTTAAAATGAAGATTCTGATTTAGCAGGTGTGGGTGGGGCCTGAGACTCTGAATTTCTAACAAGCTCCTAGGTGATGTTGATTTTGAGTAGCATGGATCAAGAACATTTTTATATTATTATTTCTTAAACCATGTTATCAAAATGAAAACACACAATTAAAAAATTCTTATATAGAACTTGTGGATTCCTAATAGTACGAGAATGAGTCCATGAATCTCAGTTTGAGGACTCTGAGCCAAACCCATAATATACATTTTAAATTAAATAGAAAGACTAGACCCTGAGGACTATGAGGCCATGGCCTATTTTACATACCAGTGTAGTACCTTGCTCCTAGCAAAGTGCTTGGCACATAGCAGGCACTCAATAAATACCTGTTGCATCAGAAAATAAAAAAATATAGACTTTGGATTTGGAAGATCAGGGTTCAAGTCTTAGACTTCCCACTAATTACCTGAGCAACTGTGGCCAAGTCAATTACCCTTATCCTCAGTTTCTTCATGGAAATGTTATTACATGCTTAACAGGGTTGCTGGGAAGATTATTTGAAAAAAGTAAGATACAGCAAAGCCTTGCCTTACCGATAAAAGTCACTCTCTGGGTCACTGTGCTGGATCTGGAATGGTGCATTGGGATTCTTACAGTCTAAAGGAAGGAGGTCATCAGGAAGAGGAGGTGACCCAGGGCAGGAGGGAAGAGGTTCACTCTCTTCAGTCTTTACACCTTCTGTCTGTTGCTGATTCTGGGCCTGAGCTGTGGCAATGAGGTTGCGCAGACGTCGGTTGTGCTGGATAAGCTGAATGGTATGGATGGTGAGGCTGCATGGCTCTGAGGGGATGTCCAACATAGTGGGGGGCTTGGGCTTGTTGGCTGAGGGTTGGTGCAGAGGAGGGTCATGGACTTCCACCAGACGGAACTCCCGTGGGAGCAAATCAAAGGAACTTCTGTTGGCCTGGCTTGATGAGATTGGTATCTCTCCCCAGTATCTCAACATTTTGGAATAAGAAAGGAAGAGCTTCCAAGTTAAATGTAGATGATATCCTAAACTAGTGTCTTTAAATCTCTGGCAACTGTAGGTTATAAGCTTCTGTAGTGAAAAATATGAAGTCTAGCCCGTTATTTACATAAAAAGTAGGTTGTTCAGGACCACTCAGAAAAATGTCAGTGTCAGCAACACTGTAGGACCGAAGATGTTCTCCCTGAAGAAATTAAGAGAAATATAACTGCTAGAAGCTAGTCATCACAATCACACACAATGACAATTCATATTAGACTGAACCACAAGGTGGAATTTGGGTCACTAGTAGACTAACAGCTGCAATAGTATCTGGGGCTGTAGTGTCCATGTTTTCCATCTCAACCCCCTAACTCATTACTAGAACTACCATCATGCCCAATCCTGAACAATTTTCAAGACAAGATACTTAAATGAGACCTGGAATATTTCTCAGAGTATTTTGACATATCTGTCCCAGATCAGTGGGAGAAAGGGGAGTAGAGTTAAAGATAGACAGAGGTGGTTCTTATACTATGTGTATCAGGCATGGGAACCTTTTAACTGATCTGGTGAAAAAAGCTATTAACCACCAGTCTAAATGGTCCTATGCGTGCAACTTCTGACATATATAGGGAAGAATCTGGGAGATTTCTGCTGCCTCTTAACTGGTATTCCTTATTTTAGTCTCGCCTTATATCTAATCTATTCTCCATAGTGCTGCTAGACTTAATATTTTTAACTCAGATCTAATGGCTTCCCATTGTCTACAGGAAAAAGTCAGTCAAAATTCTTTGGCTCTCCATTCAACAAAATTTACAAACTGGCTTCAACTCACCTTTCCAGATTCATTGCCCATATGTCTCTTCAAATTCAACAAACATTTATCAAATGCCAGGTATTATGTGAGGAGACAAAGACTAATGCCAAGATCTCCGACCTGGGGTGAGGGAGAAAAACATAAACAGAACGCTTCAATATGAAAGTGTGGGCTTAGTGCTGTTCTAGAGGTGCAGACCTGGTGCAGTGGCAGCACAAAGGAAGAGATTCCTGGAGACAATGACCACCCTAGTTCTAACAGTATCATACTACTCATTTTAAGAATGCCATGCATTTCCACAGTTGACTCTTTAAGCTGTGATCTCTGTCAGCAATGCCCTGCCACCCACCACATCCCTGGCAGACTTGTCTTCATTCTTAAGTATAGCTTAAGTCACCACCTTCCATCACCTACCCAGTACATCCTCCTTCATTATATTCTCACAGCACTTTGCATATCTCTGTCACAGCATTTATCCCTAGACTTAACTAGTATTCATCGCAATCAATTTTATTCTCTCATCTATCCCTCACGACCACAATCTTAGTACAGTGTCTGCAACACAGTAATTATCTGGCATTTAATTAGTGCCCACTATGTGCCAGCCTTTGCCTTTACTGTTTAATTCAATTCTCCCAACTACCCTATAAGTAGACACAATTATTATCCCATTTTTCAGATGTGGAAGCTGAGGCCCACTGTCTTGCCTAATGTCAGAAACAGCTGAGAGGGAAAATCAAGACAGTCAGTCTCCAGAGTCTGCAGTCTTAACAACTACACTACGTTGCCTCATTAACTGGTTTCGGAAAGCATATAAAAATGAACGAATAAATGAATGAACAAAATGACAGAAAGAAAAAAAAACCGCCCTCTTCCCTAACTTCACCCAAAGGAGCACGAAGGGGAGGCACCAAGCCCAAGCAATGCCCAAGTCCCTCGGGGGGCTCCTCGGTCACGGTCAGCGGGCGCAGGCGCCAATCACAGGATCCTGGGATCGCCTGATGATCGGAGCGGCCGGCAGACGGCACGTCTGACCCTGGACCGAGGCACGGAGGCGCCACTATTCACTGCCGCGGCGCAGGAGCCGGGCTGGGCGGCCGTACGGCCCCAGAGGCCTGAGGCGAGGGTCGCGCCAGGCCCGGAAGGCTGGTTTGTTGACTAGCGGTCCAAGCCTGCCGGAAGCGTTTCTTCTCAATCAGGCTAAGCCACAGGAAGTTATTACAATCCGGTTGCAACCTCTAAAGATGTCCCCATTCTGACAGCACCCCGACCGCCTTTTTCTGTTTTTCTCTTGTTATGATCTTCCCGTGATACTCACCTCTTCACAGCGTTCTGGGTCGTGAAGGAGCAACTCCACCATCGCTGGCCAGAGAAGCCGCTGGGAGCTGGGGAGAGGGAGGCGCGGAGAGGAACGTAGAGACCGAAGGGTGACGTTTCCTAGGAACAGATTTCGAGACTGCACCCGATTGAGGATGGCTGATAGTCCCGCTCAGTGCGAGCCGCTGGCCTCGCAAGAACTCAGTAGAGAATTCAAGAAGCCAGTTCTGCCGGTGCCCCCGGCGGTGCGGGACAAGGTCGCAGACCGCAATCCTTCAAACCCTGACGAGGTGAAGAAGGAAAGGCCCACGGCGCTGCTGGACCCCGATTCCGAGAAGCCTGATGTCCCGCCGGACAGCGGGGAGGCTCGGAGTCCCCCAGAGGAGCAGCCGCGGCCCCTCGCAGCGGCTCCTTCCCCTGCTGGCCCGGGCCGGGCCCCGCCTTACCGAGAGCCGCCGTGGGGCGGCCCTGCCACAGCCCCCTACAGCCTAGAGACCCTGAAGGGCGGCACCATCCTTGGCACCCGGAGCTTGAAAGGGACGAGCTGCTGCCTTTTCGGGAGGCTGCCTAGCTGCGACGTATGCCTGGAGCACCCCTCGGTGTCTCGCTATCACGCCGTGCTGCAGCACCGGGCGCCCGGCTCGGAGGGAGAATGCGACGGCCACGGGCCCGGCTTCTACCTCTACGATCTGGGAAGCACCCACGGCACTTTTCTTAACAAAACCCGCGTCCCACCCCGCACCTATTGTCGGGTCCACGTCGGGCATGTTCTTCGCTTTGGAGGCAGCACCCGGCTCTTTCTTCTTCAGGTAAGTAGAAAAACCTAGAATTGAAATTTCTGGAGCCCACCGGGCTGGGTTCCTGAGCTCTTTAAGCTTTCAATGAGGAAGAAGATTCTCCCAGTTAGTGATTACAAAAGTGGAATCTGGCCTTTCATGTCCAGATCTCTGTATACATTGCCATAGTTCTGAAAGTGACTTCAACAATCCTGAACTCTAAAAGAATTCTTTCGCTTGTTTCATCAGGGACCAGAGGAAGACCGAGAGGCAGAATCCGAGTTGACAGTCACCCAGTTGAAGGAACTGCGCAAGCAGCAGCAAATGATGTTGGAGAAGAAGATGCTAGGAGAAGACTCAGATGAAGAGGAGGAAATGGATACCACTGAAAGGAAGAAAAATACTAGTGGTCAAGATGATGAAGTGGGCTGCACCTGGGGAATGGGTAAGAAATTACAATTGCTGCCAGAGGTTAATATTTTAAATTCATTACTAGCGGTATCCTTTTTTTTTTTTAATCATATGGCTTTTCATGACTCTATGAGATAGGTAGGACAAATACTGTTTGCACATGAAGTTATCAAAACCCAGAGAGATTCATTAACTTTTCTGATGTCAAGAAATTGAACTATGGGCACTATGGATTTCTTCTAATGTGTTTTACAGTACAGTCTTGTTCAAAACTGTTCTTCAGCATACAACTTATTTTTTTTACCACTTAAAAAAATATATAAGTACTGACCTTGGTTATCACTGGAGGGGATGGAACTACATTCAATCAAATAAAATGGAATGTTATTCAATATAGGATATTACCTCGAATCTTTTGTACTTTGTGTAAATACCCTGAAATGTGAACTATCTTATCAGGGAAAGCTGGTCCCTTAGCCAAACAAATAAATTGAATTTTCCACAACACCAGACATTTTGGAAGATGGGTGTTTAGGAGGTAGGAATATAAAAAGATAGAAGATAGCCTTAATATGTTGTTGGGAAGACAGGATAAATGAAATTACTTGTGGTAAGTGCCAGACAAAAGCTAGAATCCATAAATATGCTGGAGTAAAAGTTCAGAGAAGGGAGCCATCACTGAGGACTTAGACCTCACTGTCCAATATGGTAGTCACTAGCCACATGTGCTTATTGGGCACTTACAGTATGGCTAGTCCAAACTGACATGTGCTGTAAATGTAAAATACACACTGGATTTCAAAGACTTAGTGTGAAAAAAGAATGTGAAATGTTCATAATATTTTTATATTGATTACTTGGTAATTTCACCTGTTTCTCTTACTTTTTTAATGTGGCTACTACAAAATATAAGATTACACATATGGCTTTCATTATATTTTTGTTGGGCAGCACTGACTTAGATCTTTAGGAAAGTTTATAAGTTTATAAACAGAAGGGTTTTGAGCTGGGACTTGAAGGATAAGAAAAGTATCCCTTGGGAAGTTGAGCATTGGGAGTGGTATTCAGGGCAGGGATTGATGATTTTAAGGGAATAATGAGTATACCAGTCTATTTGGTAGTTACGATATGCATTAGGAAATTCTATTGGAGACAAAGTATTAGACCCGGGTGTAAGAGAACAAGAATGCCAGGCTGAGGAGCTTAGATTTTTTCTGTACACAATGTGGTAGGTAATTTTGCTTTTAAAATGTAGTGATGGAAAAAAAAGAAATAAGGTGCCATGAAAACAAGTTTTAATTGTCATACAATTTAGAAAACCTGAAGATACTCTTACTGGTGGTTTTGTGGTTATCCTTTGCAGGTCCATCCCTTTCTTTTCATGACTGATAACTGTATCTTTATGCAGTCTGAAAGAATAATGGATGTCATTGAAATAGTCTCTTATGTCTGATTGTCTTTTCTTTCTTTCCCATCTCCTGTAGGAGAGGATGCTGTAGAGGATGAGGCTGAAGAGAACCCCATTGTCTTAGAGTTTCAGCAGGAAAGGGAGGCCTTTTATATAAAGGATCCAAAAAAGGCTCTCCAAGGTTTTTTTGACCGAGAAGGTATGTAAATAGATTCTGACGCTGCCAGCAAAATGTATCCACAGCAGTGTTGTTTTCTAGATCTTCAGGTACTTAGAAATGCTATATTTTATCTGCTCTTCTCTTTGTTTAGTTCTTATCCTTGTGGTCAGTTGCATCAGGTTTATTTTGAAAATAGTAAAAATCTTGTTAGTCTTTCTTCTCATTTTGGAAAAAAGGAAGTACTTTTTCCTGGCTTGTCTCATTCTTCTCGAAAAATCCTGGACTTGGGTGGTGGGGAGATTGACCCAACTTCTTGTAATTTTTTGTTTCTAATTCACCTGATCTTTTGTAATTCTTACCTTGAATTTTCATTTTATATGATTAAAGATTGTTTCCACAGAGAATTGTTTCAGTAGAGATGCTTTGAGAGAATATCTGTGTGTGTGTGTGTGTGTGTGTGTGTGTGTGTATGAATATATATATGAACTGGTTGTGTTCTGCACTTAACACATGTACTTCTAAAAACCAGGCAACTGTGATGAATTAACAGCTTAAGTCTACAACGTATAAAAAGTGTGAAAGCTACTATAGAGTGGTCAAAGCTATGAATGAAGAGTTGATTGTTTTGATCTGAGTTTGCTCTTCTTTGCCTCAAGCTCATCCTAATTTTATTATTGGATGATAATCCCTAGGAATGAGAAGTAGTCAATGTGATATGGGAACTTGATATTCTTATTTAACCTTTGCTCTGTTTTCTCCTTGTATCAACTAGTAATTGTCACATGCTGTTAAAATTGTTTTGTCTTTCTTCCTCCCACAGGAGAAGAATTAGAATATGAATTTGATGAACAGGGACATAGCACTTGGCTCTGTAGAGTAAGGTATGTTCTTTTCTCATAAATGTCCATTACAGCTGTAATTTACGATTATAGACAATAACCCAGAGAGTAACTTTAGTCTTAATTTTAGGCTACTCCTGAATTTGGGCCTTGATAGTTTAGTAACACATATTAATGGGGGGTGGGGTGGGATGAG